TAGATCTGGTCATAGAGGTGCAGAGCTCATGGCATGTGTGTAGATCTGCTTGTGGATGTGTAGATCAGGTGGCTCATGTAGTGTTTCATTGTGGACTCGTAGATCTGGTGGTGGAGGTGTGAATCTGCAGAGGTTTAAGTGCAGGGGTGCACATGTAGATGTGGTGGAGGGTGTGTAGAGCTGGTGGGTCATGTTTAGATCAGGAGGTTCATGGGAAGATCTGGTGGAGGACATGTAGATCAGGTGGTTCGTTTGTAGATCAGGTTGTGGACATGTAGATGTGGTGGTGGAGGTACCTCTGGTATTGGAGATGTAGTGGAGGATGAATAGATCAGATGGAGAGCATGTAGGGCTGATGGAGGACATGTAGAGCTGGTTGAGAACGGTATGATCTGGTGCAGGGTGTGTAGATCTGGTGTGGACGTGTAGATCTGGTGGTTCATGTGTAGAGCTCCTGGTGGACATCTGGATGTGGTGGTGGAGGTGTGATGAAGGACATGTAGAGCTGGTGGTGGACGTGTAGTTTTCGTGGAGGACATGTAGATCTCATAGAGAATGTGTAGATCAGATGTTGGACATGTAGATCAGGTGGTGGAGGTGTAACTCTGGTGGTGGCGGTGTAGTGGAGGACCTGTAGATCAGCTGGAGGGCATGGAGAGCTGGCTGAGGATGGTAATATTTGGTGGAAGGAGAGTAGATTTGGTGGTGCATGTGTGGATCAGGTGGTTCGTGTGTAGATCAGATGGTGGGTGTGTAGAGTTGGTGGTGGGCATGCAGAGCTGCTGTAGGACGTGTAGAACTGATGGCGCGTGTGTAGAGCAGGTGGATGATGTAGATCTGGTGGTTCGTGTGTAGAGCAGGTGGTGGATGTGCAGATCCTCTTGGTGCACTTACACGTCTGGTGGAGGATGTGTAGATCTGTTTGAGGACAGAAGGATCTGGTGGAGAATGTGTAGATCAGGTAGTGGAGGTGCGGTGCTGCACAGGTAGATCTGGTGGTTGCCCAAGTATCACAGAATCCCAGAATGGCTGAGGGTGGCAGGGACCTCCAGGGATCACCCAGTGCAGCCCCTGCTCCAGCAGGGACACCCAGAGCACGGGGCACAGGGTGGCATCCAGGCGGGTTGGACATCTCCAGAGAAGGAGCCTCCACAGCCTCTCTGGGCAGTCTGTGCCAGGGCTCCGGCACCCTCATCTGTAATGGTGAAGTAGATCAGGTAGAGGATGGGTAGATTTGGTGCTGCATGTGTAGATCACGTTGTGGATGCGTGGTGGAACTGGTGGTGGACATGTAGATGTGGCCGAGGCCCAGAAGATCTCTTTGGGGACGTGTAGAGCAGGTGGCGCATGGCTGGATCAGGTTGTGAGCGCGTAGATTTGGTAGTTCGTGTGTAGATCAGAGCCGGTGCTGGGGGTATTGCTGAAGGAGGAGGTATCTCCGTGGTGCACGTGCAGATCGGGCAGTTGCCCAAGCAGATCAGGTGCTGGATGTGTAGATCTGGTGGAGGACACGTAGATCAGGTGGTGGACGTGTGGATTGTGAGGAAGAGCTTCCCTAGGGCCCTGGCACAGGCTGCCCAGGGAGGCTGTGGAGGCTCCTTCTCTGGAGATGTCCAACCCGCCTGGATGCCACCCTGTGCCCCGTGCTCTGGGTGTCCCTGCTGGAGCAGGGGCTGCACTGGGTGATCCCTGGAGGTCCCTGCCACCCTCAGCCATTCCGGAATTCTGGGATTCTCCTGCCACTGCACTCCGGGTGTCCATCCCTTCCTCCCTCCGCTCCCGGCTCCTTCTCCCCCCAGCTCCGTCCAGGACGAAGCTGCATCTCCTTCCCAGGGGACAAAGCAGGACGCGCCTGGGCACGTGAGTGCATCCACGAGCACACGCGTGTGCATGCGTGCGCCATCTGCGAGCACACGTGTGTGCATGTGGGCGTGCGTGCACGAGCACACGCGTGTGCATGCGTGCACCATCTGCGAGCACATGTGTGCATGTGGGCGTGCGTGCACAAGCACACGCGTGTGCACTTGTGTGCCCGCATCCATAATCATGCACATGTGCGTGCCCGTGGAGCCCTCACGCGTGCATGCGTGCGTGCATTCACCACCGCACGTGTTTGCACGTGTGTGTGTGCACAAGCAGGGGTGCACACACATGCACACACGTGTGCACAGGCATGTTTGCACGTGCGAGCACACGTATGTGCACATGTGTCTCTCCACCAGCACCGGATGCCCGCTCGTGTGCCCCCCCGCGCGGGTGCGTGTGCATGCGTGTTCGTGGGTGTGATTACGGGTGCGCTGCCCCTTTAAGAGCGGCGGGGCGCGCGGGGGCAGTGCCCTTTTAAGAGCGCCCGGGTGGGCCCCGCGGGCGCTGCCCCTTTAAGAGCGAACAGGTGCCGCGGCGATGCACAACACTCCGAGGGGGAAACAAGCCGGCGCTGAGTGGGGGGGGG